GTCCCTGATGTCATCATGGAAGCTGTCTCAGGCACAATGTTATTATTAGGTACTAATGGGTACCCAGGATATATGAAGGACAGCCAGTTTGGTCTAGTGGTTAAGGCATCAGGCTAGAAACCGGGAGACCATGAATTCTAGTCCCGCCTTAGGCATGAAAGCCAGTTGGGTGACTTTGGGCCAGTCACTCTCTCTCAGCCCCTGGGAAGGCAGCAATAGCAAACCACTTCTGAAATCTTGCCAAGAAAACTACAGGGACTAGTTCAGGCAGTCACCAGGAGTCAAGACTGACTTGAAGGCACATACACAAACACACACACAGACACAGATACAAAGTGTAAGTAAGTTAATGCATCAAACATAATGTCTTGATTCATTGGACTCTGTTAAACTAAGGTCTCTTCCTCCTTAATGATATGATTTTAAAAGATGGTGTCTCCTCCATTTCCCTTAGAGTAATAGTCTCTGTGTTTGAATTAACATTGTAAACACAATATTGCCAAATAAGTATAGGTGACAACTATTCTATTATGGAGTCATGATGTAAGCAAGAGGACAAAAAACCCCTCACACCTGTACTTTTTTCTGATTTTAGAAGTCTGAAAGAGAAAAGCTTGATCTGTTCTTCATGACAATCCAATAACTGTTGAATTTAACTGTGTGAATCCATTTTATGTGCTCAGCTGGTATATGAATGCAAAAAACTCTAACATCCCCAAAACACCATACCTCTCCAGTGACCTTTCCTAAAGAAATGGAATGCAGTACAAAGGCCTGAATCTCTCAGTTAAGATGGATTAATCTAAATCTGGTCCACATTTAATATATTCACAATTTATTCATCATGTTTTAAATCATTTTTTAAAAGAAACACCTTGAAAATATGTAGTTGTTACTGTAACAGGCTTTGAATGTATTTTTTCCTGAAACATATTATTTTCTATGCAATAGCTATAACTACCCCAGTAATACACTTTGTATATGCAGCTATCTCTAATTTTCTCCTGTGCAAATTTTCTTAGTACTAAAACAGCTTAGCCTCATCATAATTAAATATAACGTTACTCCAATTTGTGCCAACTTGTAGGTATTCAAAGCAGACTGTTCATTGCTGCTTTCCATACAGCAACAGAATTCATGATGGGGATCACAGCATTCTGATGTACAAGAAATATATTAAAAAGTTTCTGGTCTATTATTATCCTAGGGTTCTCAAGTGCTCAGAAGGTTAGGGTAAGTGGTGATCAGTGACCATAATAATGCTGGTTAGTGACCATAAACAAACCTTTCAAAATTAGAGTGCTGAAGCCCAAGCAAAATTAATGATTGCTGAACCTTTGGAGACCATTGCCAAACTTTTAGGTTTATTTTCTTCTATAGTAAGGATTCTTGCGCATACTTCCATTTGCAAACTCATTTCTACAACTTGGTGCAAAACGTCAAGCTGCAATTGCTGGCATATTACATTACCTGTTGTTGTTGTACAAGATATGAATCAATAAAGTTTCTGGTGTCATTTTCATCTAGATTGTTGAGACATTTGATGAAGCTTTCATTTATGAAAGCATGCAATTTCTTTCTGTTATTCAGGACTTTCTTACGAGCCCCAATAAGGAAGCCAAGGATGGGAAACATGTTATATAGCTGAAACATATAAAATAACAGATATTAAAGAAGTCACATACCTAGAATATAGTTTCAGATAGACCTGCCAAATGATGCCTGTCCATATATTACAGTGGAAAACATAATACAGAGCAGTTACAACATAGAGATGGATTCTTTTTAGTTTCCTTAAAAATAGAGCCTGCAGTATGCAATGAAACTGCATAGAAATTTCTCCACCACAAATTTGGTGGAGAATTTTGGAGGCCCCGTCATACACAGCTCTAATTGATATTGTGTTGTTCTCATTAACTTATATATTTTTCATTCATCTATTGTTAGTGATTGAAATACAGTAGAGTCTCGTTTAACCGCTTATCCGACATTCCGTCTTATCCGACGCCCCTAAAAAAAACGAGAACACACATAAATCGGCGACGAGGAAAGTGTGCCGCCTTTTTGCAAGCATGAGTGGTTCTTGTTGTTCTTGTTGCTCCTGATGGTGGCGCCGCAACACAAAAATCGATTGCAATAGGCGCAGCGGATCGGTTTTTTTTTTTTTTACCGCACTCAATCGTTACTGTGTGTTATCCGACATTTTCGCTTCTCCGACGTTCTGCCGGCCCGTTTATGTCGGATAAGCGAGACTCTACTGTACATCTTTTCAAGTGGATTTAGATTCTAATATTTCTTATTCCTTTCCTGTAGCTGACTGGAAAATGGAACCAAAGTTGCAGACATTTTCCAGTGCAAGAGGTATTTGACATAGGACATACATGTTGGACATACCTCTATGCATATTTGCATACTCACATGGAAGAATGATGGGAAGATTGTGCCACTTTTTAAAAAATATATTTTGAATTATCACAAAGCTTTTCAATGTCAGTCAGTATATTCAGCATTTTGCAGTGAATTCTGAATAATGCACACTACTTTGCCCATACACTAAATGAGCTGTTAATGCTTTTCAGATGAATAATATTACCAGAATTGGGGGGATTCCCATAAGCCGGGCATTTTCTGTTGCCAAGCTCAATAATTTAATAAATCTTGGATCTTCATATTCATATCGCTTCCCAAGTAAAATGGATACAATGATATTGCCAACAGCTGCAGTCATAATTGCTCTGAATTCAAATGGTTTTCCTAGACAACAAATATGGAATTTCATCAAAATATTAATATAATATAAAATTACCATAAGTATTAAAGTTGTATTTCATTGCCCTGATTCTAGCACTGAATTGTAGAGTATATTGTCTTAGAAATCAGTGCTTTGCATTGGTTTATGTGAATGGATAAGGGGGGATAGGAAGAAGCGAACTGTGTATATAATTTCATAGGGGGCAGGGAATTATTAAATTGCCTGCACTGAGTGCCAGGAGATGAGGAAAGCCATCAGGCTGTCAATCATGGCAGAGCCTTTAAGGACACTGGGTTCTATCACCTCATTTTCTAATCACCTTTGGATTTACAATTATTTTACAGTTAAAGCAGGTCTTCCAAACAACAAGTTTTAAAAACTACCTGGTGAGTAAAACTTCATCCCAAAATAGAAGAAAGGCTAACTAGCAACTTAAAGAACTTACATAAATATACGAATATAAAATAAATGGCAAAAAGCTGAATAAGAATTTAATTTAAGAAAGTTTTGAGTCAATTAAGGGACTAAGCAAATTTGGAATATTAGGAATATTGGAATTTGGAATATTGCTAAGATTTTTGAAAAATTGAGTAAACAAAACAATATTTTCGTGGGAATACAAATTGTTTAGTCTATCAGGAAAGAGATCATTGGCTGAAAGTTGAAAACAAAGCAATGATAAAACCTGAGAATTTGTGAATATAGGAATGGGCCACTAAAGGGGTCTAAAGTTCCAGACAGGAAAAAGAAACATGCAATCTGCAAAATGACAAATAAAGGTATAACACTTGAGACATTTCAAATGATTTTTGAAGAACTGGAAGAGAAATCTATAACCAATTTGACAGCAATAATCTCTGCACCTACAAATGTAATTTTTGAAGACAATTATTAAGAATTGAAAGATGTGACAAACAAAAATATGGAGTAATTTATGGATAGACAGGATGAAGAGGAGATACAAATCCTAGCTGATAGAGAAATATTGGAAAATAAAGAAATTGAGGATTATAAAACAGAGATGATAGTCAGAGTGGAAAGACAAATGACAAACCAAGAAATGAAAAAGGACCTGGGCAAGGACTTATTTTTGGATTTACAAAAGAGGGTTTCTAGAACCTTGAAAAAATCTTTGAGATGGGAGAAAGAAAGTCTGAATGGAGATTCAGTCCTACAACAGCAACTTGATGAATTAAAGATTAAGACTGTAGAAGCAAAAGAAAGGAATATAAAGCTGACTTGTTTGATCAGGGCTAAAATATGGAATATTTTTATAAAATTCTGGAAAACCTTTATGGAAATTTTGCCAACATTTGGACAATTTGAAACAATTTTTGGATTTGTGGGTAGATGGGAGGGGTATGGGAAGAAGTGAACCATGTATCTAATCTCATAGGGAATGGGGAACTATTAATTTGCCTGTACTGGTTGCAAGGAAGATCGGGAGTTGCTTCTTTATTCTTTTTTTTAAAAAAATATCTCTCTCTTCTTTTTTCTTCTTTTTTCTGTTCCTTTCTTTTTTTCTGAATTCAATTTGTATTATCTTTTAGCATTGTAAAACTCTTTAATAAAAAGTATTTCTTATAAAAAAGATAACTACAGTTCTGAAAGTCTGGAATATGTCACAAAGGAATCTCAACCCTTCAAGGTACCATAGGATAGATAAGCTCTTGAACCCCTAGAAGAAACACCAACTCACCTCTATAGGATTCAAACTTCTTTATCAGGAAACTGCACTCTTCAGCTATTCTGCTCTCCATAGACCGCTTACCCATTCCATAGTCCCGTAATGTGGTTAACATAAATCGCCTCATCACCTTCCAGTTCTCACCATGGGAAAAAGCTACTCCTAAAAAAAAAACAGTAAGCAAAATTTCAACTGATTGTGACTGTTTATGATGTATTTATTTATTTATTTATTCCATGAGCCTAAGGATAGACCTTGCTATTTTTAGACCATGCCTTGATTAGATACTATCTAACTATACATGCCATCAGACTCATTACAGCGGCTTGGATATCTGTAAGGGAAGGTCTTGTATATTTGAGATACCCCAATAAAGAGACTTCTACAATGCATACAGAATTAAGTAAGAGAGTTAGGATAGCAGATAAGAAGGACAGTTCAGCCTCTTAGATTGGAGAAAATACTACTTGGAAAGTGACTTAGCATATAACATAAAAACACAGGCAATACTGCATGTAGTGGTGAAAAAAATCTAGTTTAAATAAAGCATTTATATTTTATAAATCTCTGTCTAATGCTTAAATGGTTGCAAATGCCTTGAAAAAGCAATCCAGTGCATTTTGGTATAATTTATGTGCTAACACCCATTATGCCAGCCTTCCCAACCTTGCTGCCCTTCAGATGTGTGGACTTCAAGTTCTAGAATTTCCTAGTGAACATGGTCATTGGGGAAAGCTGCTTTAGATATTCTTCATGATCTTTCACAGTACAGGCTTAATCGCTAAGAGGTTGTTTATTCCTGAATTTTTTTTTTTAATTCTTAAAGGATTGGGATTTTGCCCTCTGTTCCAAATTATAGTAGGTTTACTTTGTCACATAGAACTCAATGGCATCTACAGAGAAGAAAGGCACTCTCTGTGATCATCCCTTTGGCTCTTCCATCATACAAAAGAACATTTCTTAAACATTCAGTTGAATTTCCTAGTTTTGCTGCCTCAGTGTTTGTCTAAATCAGTGCTTCTCAAACTTAGCAATTTTAAGATATATGGACTTCACCTCCCAGAATTTCTCAGTCAACTCCCAGAATTCCCCAGCCAATTCCAAATCATGCATGGGGGCCAATTCTAAATTATGCATGGGAGAGAGCCAAGTATCTCTGCACAAAAGTATGTTGATAAACATTAGAGGAAAGCTTATGGCCCCACTTAACAGAACAATTACAAAGACTCTCCCAATGCAGAGAACTGGCTTGTCACTTTTTAAAGAAAGTGAAGAAATATATCTTACCTTTAAAAAACCCATCCCATGGGATCATTCATTCCAGAATATTCAATTAACTAACTAACAGCATTAAATCTTAGTAAGAATGATCTTCCCTTTCTTTTTCTGTAGTTTCTTCCTAAATTCCGGTCAGGGAATTTCGATTGGTGGGGTCTAGGCAGAGAGCCTTTTCTGCTGCAGC